GAGTCACTTCCTTGAAAGTAGTTCTCAGAATTCAGCTTTTGTTGAGCATCTATTACTTGTCTCTCCAATTATATTTCAATACACACTGTTACTGTGTCATAACCATGAATGCTTTATCATCTGCCTAATTACTAAACAAGTCCAATTATGCAAACATATTCTTAACATCTAAATATTTTGGTTCTAACTAAAGAAAATTAGGTAATTTTATACATTTTCCTTTCTTTAATTTCTGGATTTCATAGATCTCTCTATATCATGCCTTTGAGTCCAAATGTTTCCCTGGTGTTTATTTCACACATATACATTTTATTGAAGTGAAGATGCTTCCTTCATTTTCTTCCTTGCACACTGGGATGATCATTCATTAATCTTTCATCCATGCTTAGATTTTTTTTTACTCATTATGTTTTCTGAGTTGTTCCTTCAAATCTTCAAATTCTCCAGGGGTGCCTGGGTGTCTCAGTTGGTAAGTGTCTGCCTTTGATTCAGGTCATGATCTCAGGGTCCTAGGATCGAGTCCTGCATCAGGTGCCCTGCTCAGTGGAGAGTCTGCTTCTCCCTCTGCCCCCACCCCCTGCTTGGGCTTTCTCTCTCTCAAATAAATAAATATATTTTTAAAAAAGAAAGAAAAAATTCTCCAGAAAATATCTATTCTATTGCCTCTTACAGCTTTTTATGAAATCCAGTTTGCGATGCGAGTGGGATGGCTGGAAAGACTAATGACAAGCATGTACTTGCCATGGTTAAGTACTTTCTGGTTAAATACTCTTTTAATCACATTTTATGTGACTGTTCTATCTTCTAGCAACTTCATGGGGTTTTGAATATAGGTGAGTTTCAGTGGGGTGGAGTCTGGAGCTGACAACCAGGAAAGGATTGAGTCTTTGAATTCTTTGGTGCAAAATGGTGGTTTTATGAAAGCACGGGGACAAGACCATGGGCAGAAAAAGGTGCTGCCCCGGGGTGGTGAGGGGTGGCTGATTATATGCTATGGAGTTGGGGGAGGTAAGGAAAAGTAAGGTTTTCAAAAGAACTTTCATATGTTAAAGAAGACTCACAGGATACCTGAGGCCCTGCCATTGTCAAATTAAGGTTGCTTTTCCCTCTAGCAAGGCATTAACATGAAGACAGTGGGAAGCTTCCTGGAGGAATGTCACACAGATCCCACCCAGGACTGTGGGGGGGATGCCTTTTGCTCCCTCATCATCCTGACTCCCATCTTACTTCATCACCCTCATCTCAACACATATCAGCTTTAGTGCATTATGTCTTCCTAAGTTAATAAAGGTGAAAGTGGTTGAATCAGTAAGATTCAAGACATACTTTTAAGGTGACAAATAACCCTTGAATACCAATTCTGTTCTAGGCACTAAAGATTCAGTGGTAAGACAGAAAAAGTCTCTGTATTCTTGGATCTCATGATCCAGTCAGGGAGATAACCAAGGAACCAATTAGCATTAGGTGCTATGAAGAAACTGGGAAAACAGGTTAGAGAATGACGTCTTGAATTTTTCCTTCATAGATACACTATCTATTCAGGGAAGACTTCTCTGATGAGATAACAAGTAAGCAGAGATGTAAATGAAGGTGAGAAGTGGGCTGTGCAGATATCTCCATGGAGGATCTTTCCAGAGGGAGGGAGCAAGAGGGAGGGATTAGGAGGGATGGAGGCTGAAGCACTCTCCGTCTGTTTGAGGAACACAAGAGAGTAAATAGAAAGCAGAACCACACTTGCAAGTCTCTGGAGGAATCACATCTGCTGATCCCCTTGGCCAAAGGAAGTCTCTCAGGCAACCTCTGAATCTAAAGGTAAGGAAACCAACTCCGCCTCTTTACTGGGAGGACCTGCAGACGCAGGGCAGAAGGTGCAGACAGAGAAGCAGGCGAAACCCTGGGACTCTCTTAGAAAGTTTTTACCCACATCCCTAAATATTCACTTAGAATAAAAACCCCAAACTGGAACAAATGACAAATGATCTTTTGAGTTTTCTCCCTTAAAGTATTAATGCAAATAACTTGTTTGGTTTTTAAATATTAAATCTCCATTCTATTCCTAGGATAAAGTCAATGTGTTCACCATGCACGTGATTTTTAGGAATTTATGTATTTGGCTTGTTCGTATGTGTTAGGGCTTCGGGTGGACTTCTGGAGATCCATGAGCGCACAGTAATGAATGAGACTGGCCTGTAGTCTTCAGTCTTACACTGTCCCATTTGTTCTAATATTAAGACTATGTTGCTCCTGGGGCACCTGGTTCCCTCAGATGGTGAAGCATCTATCTGACTCTTGGTTTGGTTCAGGTCATGATCTCAGGGTGCTGAGATCAAACCCCACTTGGGCTCCACACTCAGCATGGGGGTCTGCTTGTCTCTCTCCCTCCCCTTCTGCTCCTCCCCATGCTTGCTTGCGAGCAGGCTCTCTTTCTCAAATAAATAAAAAAGACTATATTGCTCCTATAACAGTGATTGGAAAACATACCCTCTCTTACTGTTCTGTGGATAAGTTGGTTTAAGATTGGATTCATTGCTTCTCAAAATGTTTGGTACAATTTTCCAGTGAAGTCATTTGCACTGTTTTCTTTATGGGACAGTTTTAAATGTTGATTCATGATCTGGGTGTACTTATGAAGAGTGTATTTTGTAGTCTGTCTAGTGCAGACTTTCTCTGTGAATAGCCAAACAACACATATTTGAGGCTTTGTGGGCCACATGGGGTCTTTGTAGCACATTTGTCCTTATTTTTATTTTTTTCACAACCGCTTTAAAGTGTAAAAGCCATTCTTAGATCACATTTCATTCAGAAACAGTGCACAGGCACAATCTGGCCCAGTTTGCTGGTCCCGGCTATAACGTGCTGTTGTATATACGACTACTAGGTCAAGTTTGCCAATTCTGTTCAAATCTTTTATATCTTTTAATAAAGAAAGATGTCCCATATCAAATATGAAAAGAGACCTGTTAATATCTCTGAGATGTGGATTTCTGTTCGTAGATCTTTTACTTCTTGCTTTATGCATTCTGAGGTCTTATTATTGAGAACTGTTATACAAGCAATTTCTGCTTAACATCAGTGTTACGTCCATGGGAAAATGACATTTTATGCAAAATGTCACTTGCTAGTGAGTAAGGAGCCTATTTTAAATGGAAAAAAGAAATTATAATGCATTCATATTAATGCCAAACCCTCAATCAATTTCCTAAAAATGTCACTAAAACACAGTACTTACTCATAACTATCTGTACTGTTTATAAACTATATTTATATGTAACTATAACTATGGTATAAACTATATTTATACCATAACTAACATGTATGGTATAAAATGTTCGAAACATAACTTCCTAATCACCACTTAATTTGTTAACCAATATCTGCTTTGTAAAAAGTAACATAATTTCTTTCAGCACCAAAACTATCTCACATAAACATCCCCTTTGTTGACACTGAATGTTTTTCAAAACATCTACTTTTATAGCACAAAATAAGATTGTCACAGATCAGTATCTCTTGTGAACATTGGTGCAAAAATCCTAAATAAAATATTAGTGAACAAAATCATGCATCATATTTAGAAAGTAATATATAATGATCAATTGGGATCTATTCTGGTACTGCAAAAATGGTTCAGTAGTAAGATATCCATTAAGATATTACTAAATCTAAGAAGAAAAATCATATGATTATCTACATAGTTGCTTGAAAACCCTTTTTAAAAAAAATTGAGAAACCTCCAGGAAACAGGAATTGATGGATATTTTCTTATGCACACACACACGCATGCACACACAAACACACACACTTGTATGTAGGTACATATGTGTATATATTTAATCTACTATTTTACAGTGCGCTGGTGGCGTTAACCAATGAGATTAGACAATAGGAAACAACTGCAGTCATAGGAATTTGAAAAAATATAGAACAGTTATCTCTAGTTCAAATGATATGATGGTATTCCTAGAAAACCCTAAATCATGTGTAATAAACTAAAACAAGAATTCAGTAAGGTATCCAGACATAAAAAGAACATAGAAATTAATGGACTTCTTGTAAGCAAAATAACTATTTAGATAATACAATGGAACATTAACCATATTTAAAATAAGAGGATAAAAATGTTTAAACTTAGGAATGTGCTTAGCAATGAAAAAACTAAAACAGTTCTGCCAGACACAAAAATAGATATGACTAAATAAAAAACAGACAACCCTTGTATTTAGATATGAAAACTCAGAGTTGCAAATATGTCAGGTTTGCTTAAATTAATCTATAAATTTAATGTGATCTCAATAAAAATACCAGCAAGCATTGTTTTTATGGAATTAGAAAAGTTGATATCAAAGTTTATATGGAAAAATAAGCATACAAGAATAGCTAGGAAAATACAGAAAAGCTAAGAAAAGGGACTAGCTGGACAATATATTAAAATATATCATAAATCCTCTATAATTAAAACAGTTTGGAACTCATATATGAATAAGCAAATGTATTATTGGAATAGAATAGCAAGTCTGGACAGAGGCCCAAATACACATGGAAAGTGAATCTGTGATGAATGTGGTAGCAAGCCTGGGAAAGAGTGGAGTTTTTAATAGATGTTGCTGGGGTGAGTGGATAGACAGAAGGTAGAAGGGAATCCATCTCTCACACCGTACACAACCAGATACATAGACATAAAATCATACAAGTACTAAGAAGGGTTAACTCTCCCTACACATAACTATGACTCAGAATCCTGATTTGGTAAGATTCAGATGCACCACTGTTCTCTGGCTCCCCCATGGGAAGAATCCTCCTTTCACTGAATAGCCATTTCCCTACGAATAATGCGCCATTTTCCACTGGCTTCTTTCAAGCTCATCTGCTTGTCTTTGGTTTTTCCCAGTTCAACTATGAAATGCCTCCTTCTACATCACAGATTAAATTCTGTACGCTTCACACTTGCCATGTGTAACAATGATTAACTCTGGCACAATACAAAACATACACAGAGGCACTGAGAGTGAATGAACACTTTAGTCGGGATTTCTTGAGAGAAAACTTGGAAGAAGAGTTTTCCCTTTAATAGCTCTTATTTGCGGAGAGGCCACAGTAGCTAGCAAGTAGGATGGGTAAGCCCCCGGTGGTTTACAGCATTTATGGCCTGTGGAGTCGAGGACTGAAGTCAGGGCAATTTCAGGGAAGTCACAGGAGATTCCTGGAAAGAGAGCCAGAGGAGGGAGATTCTCAACTTATGTGAGTAAATGGTGGCCAAGACTTTGGCTGGCCGTTGAACGGTGCATAAAGGGACAGACGCAATGACAACTAAATATACAGGAACTGACCTGAAATTTGAGCTGCAAACAGGAGAGAAGGAGTCTACAATTTAATTTCAGTCAAATAAATTGCTTTCAAAACTTTTCCAGAGTCTCCAAAACTTAATATTCCAAAGTCTTCCCAGGATACAATCCAAAATTAATCAGGAAGTAAAGAACCAAGAAAATGTGACCCATCTCTAAGGGAAAGATAATACTCAGGAATGATGCAGCCGGGGATGAGCAGACAAAGGTTTCAAAGCGGCTGCTACAGTTATGGAAGCTGAAGGGAAGTGTTGATAGAGACATGGTAGGATGACACAGCATCTGAAATAGTAAAGTCATTGCGTGGTTTTAATAGCAGAATTCAGATGCCAGAGGAAGAGAACAGAGAATGTAAATATAGACCAACAGAGAACATCTCATCTGAAGAAAAAGAAACAAGATTGAAAGAATATAAGCAGAGCTTTAAGCATCTGTGGGACGATACTGTATAGAATAACACACACACATCTGAAGTCTGGGAAGGAGAAGAGCAGACGGGTCAGAAAAAAGTATTTGAACACATAATCTCCTAAGTTTTATCCAAGTATAAAACATACACAAAGATTCAAGAAACTCAGAAACTCTGGATTTGCTTTTGATCTATCAGTTTTCCTTCTAGGAATTTACCCTGAAGATGAGCCTCCAACAGTATGAAAATACATATGTAGAAGGTTATTCATTGTATACTGAACATATGATGTATACAATACATTGTATATTGTTTGAACAAATTATGATTCATTTTCACCAAGGGACAGCCAATTTTTGTTAAAGGGCCAGACTGTAGTTTGGGGTCCATACTGTCTCTGTTGCTCTGTGCTTAACTCTGTGGTTGCAGGAGTCATAAACAGTGTGTAAACAAATGTACATACACTGTGTGCCAATAAAACCTCATTTACAAAAATAGATGGTGGGTCAGATTTTGCCAATCTCTGATTTGTACAGTGCAGTCCTGCACATCTATCCAGGAAAAAAAAAGACTGAAGAGAATATTTATAAACTGATATGGAGTAATGATTTGATTTTTTTTAAAGATTTTATTTATTTATTTGTCAGAGAGAGAGAGCTCGAGCAGGAGGAGTGGCATGTAGAGGGAGAGGGAGAAGCAGACCCCCCACTGAGCAGGGAGCCCGATGCCAGACTCGATCCCAGGACCCTGAGCTCATGACCTGAGCCGAAGGCAGATGCTCAACTGACTGAGCCACCCAGGTGTCCTGGAGTAATGATTTTAAAGAGACCACACAAAAGGGCTAAATCTAGGACCATTTGAACGTCAAAATAAATAATGACAATAATGGATAATAACACTTTGAATAAAATACCAGAGTTCATGAAAAATGAATGAGCAGAAGGAAGGGAAAGAAGAGGTCCTTCTTATAATAGAATGCCAACATATGAACATAGAAGGAATGATGACATTAGAAATACCACTGTTTTGCAACCACTATAGTAATAATTGCTTCAAGCAAGAGTCATCCGTGGATGCTAAAACTCGTGGGTGTAAGTTGGGCTAGGGACAAGGTATTTATTTACACAGACTCCAAGTATCACTCTGTGAATTACTTACTAATCACAAAGGTAAGCAATATCTTGACAGCAGAAACCAGGAGCATAGCCCCTTAACCAGGTGAGCAGGGTTAGCACCCACCGTCACAGAAGCGATCCCATCACAGGCCTCCGGACACCATCCACGGAGGAGGGCATGCCATCTGTTTGTGGTTCTCCGAGCCGGCATGTAGAACTTCTACCTAGTGATGAAGACATGTCAGACAAACCCAGACTGAGGGCCGATCCACAGAAATACCTGACCTGTGCCATCAAAATGCCAATGCCCCAGTGAAGACTGTTCCAGATCAAGGGGACGAGACAGACTTGCCATGTGAATGCAGTGCGAGCCGGAACTAGGTCCTGGACCAAACAAAACTGCCAAATGGGACATTCTTGGAATAATGTGCAAAATCAGATTAAAAACAGGAGATTGATAAGAGAATTGTATAATGTTAAAATTTCTGGTTATGATAGCTGTATCTGATTATCCTTGTTCTTAGGAAATTCACATTGAGATATTTTGGGGTAAAAGGTATGAAATCTTCAACTTCCTATCAATGGACTAGAAAAAAACGTAATGGTATCTGTATAGAGAGATGATGATGTACCAACTATGAGACATAAGTAAAAATATAACAATTGGTGAATTTGGGTGAAAGGTAGGTGTGCGTTCTTTCCACTTTCTAGACATTTTAAGTTTTTATTTGAAATTGTTTCAAAAAAAATTTTAAAAGACATAAAACCACACATCTGTCACAGCAAAACCAAATCCTGTCACAATAAACTTTCCTGCTTCTCAACAAAAGCAATCGACTTGTGATTTTTGACAATGTCCCACCAATTGTATTTGAAATTGTATCGATATACATAACATACAATTGTGTTTAAAATGTTGTTTTGAGTTTGAGTATGTAAATATTAATTTACCCCTTAGAAATATTATCCAAAAAATGTTGTAATGAGAACGAGGTACCTGCTATGCAGTTTGGGTGTTGAAGGAAACTGGGAAATCATTAATGCAGCACACACGTTGTTTGCTGATTGTATTTTCTAACAAATTACAGATTCTGTCACCATGAAGCTGTTGGCTGGAAAGTTCAGGAGCTTCCCAGGTGAAATCTGGACACGAGGGCCGCAGACAGACTGCGGGGGGAAACCAGAAGGACACTCACCTGCAGGCTCCTGGGCGCCCAGCACGTGTCCGCACCTGCACCTGCCGCGGGGGCCGGAAGGTTCACCGCCAGGCCTCAGCTGGGCTCAGTCCTCAGCGCGCATGCGGACCGACACCTCCAGGTGGGGCCGGGGCGTGCGGGGTGAGGGGCCTCGGGGTACCCGGAGGGAGCTCGGGGTCGTCCGGAGGTCACGAGCTCTCCGTGCCCTTCCGCGCGGACCCTCCTCGTGGCTGTCACAGAAATCAGTAACTGGCGGAGGCGCGGCTCTGGACACACACAAACAGGAGTAAATGTTTTCCAGGCGCCGGGTGGGGAGTGACGAGGAGCGCGCCCACCCCGTCCGGGAGCACGGACCGCACACCTGAGGAGCTTCTCGCTGTAAAGAGCCGTGAAAAGTAGGAACACTCGCAGCAGGGGCTGTGGGGCTGCAGGTGGCAGCTCAGCGCGAGAAAAAGATGCGCTCTGAACCCTGCGGGCCAGTCTGCGAGCACCCTGGCCGAGGGCGGGGGTCGTCAGTGCAGGGTGGCGCGGGGCGCACGGGCTCTCGCCGCGGCACAGAGACGCACCGCCTCGTGACCGTCCCGGCGCCTCAGGGGTCCAGGAACGTGGCCTCGGCCGTCCGCGTGCGGTCCACGGTGCGGCTGCGCTGCTCGCGGGCGGACTCCAGCAGTCGGGGCTCCGGCTGCGCCCCTCCAGTGGGAGGCGCCCCGAGGGCGAGGGGCTGCACCTGGGAGAGGGGGGAGGCGCCCCGAGGGCGAGGGGCTCCTCTGCAGCCTAGGGGAGCGCAGGGGCTGCACCTGGGAGACGGGAGGGAGGGAGAGTGGTGTCAGAATGTAACCGAGCACAGCAATAAGAAACGCAGCCCCCCCATGTGTGTAATTATTGGCACGTGAAGCTGACTGGAATCAAATGGAAAGACATTTTCTAAATTTTGGGAGAGGCGTTCTGCCAAAGGAGCCATGAGCCCATAGGAAAGCTGAAACTTTCAACTCATCTTCTGTGAACACCTCCAGGCATAAAGTGGTTTGGGTGGGTGGCATTAACTCAACTCTCAAAGATTTTGTGTGTGTATTATATATATATATATATATGTAATACACACACTTGTAAGTTTTTGCTTTTATTAGTCAATCCTGCAAGTCTTTTTCTTTATTGTTTCAGCTTTTGGTGAATGCTTAGAATGGCATTATCCACCTGAAGATTACACATTAAAAAAATAAAGTTCACCTGAATCTTTCTCTAGAGGTTTTATGGTTTTTAAGATTACATTCAGTTGGGGTGCCTGGGTGACTCAGTTGGTTGGGCTACTGCCTTTGGCTCGGGTCCTGATCCTGGAGTGATCCCGGAGTTCCAGGATCGAGTCCCAGAGCCCCGCGTCGGGCTCCCTGCTCAGTGGGGAGCCTGCTTCTCCCTCTGGCCCTCCCCCACTCTCATGCTCCCATTCTGTCTCTCTCTCTCAAATAAATGGACAAAATCTTAAAAAAAAAAGATTATTCAGTTTCCTAATGCATCACATTTATTTTATGGCAAAGGTGGAGACAGAAATCTCTTACCTTCTTCCCTTTATTCAGTATGGCTTCATTTCCCCCAATGAGTTAAGATACGTCCTTTATCCTACCATAAAATCTTTTATATCCTTAAGCCTCTGACTGAACTTTCTATTATAGTTTTTTAATGTTTCTATTTTGTGAATATCCATCTATTTATTGTGGTTTTACTAAATCATTTAATGTTTTATAGAGCAAGTTCCTTTCATTGCTTTCTAAAAATGAATTTACTTTTGTCACATTTATTCTTAGAAAAAGTAAATAATAGAGAAAACCATTCTAGGGATGCCTGGGTGGCTCAGTCTGTTAAGCATCTGCCCAGGGTCCTGGGATCAAGCCCCGCATCGGGCTCCCTGCTCAGCGGGGAGTCTGCTTCTCCCTCTCCCTCTGCTGCTCCCCCTGCTTATGCTCTCTTGCTCTGACAAATAAAGTCTTTTAAAAAAGAAAATACATTATACCCAAATTAATCTATAAATTTAACACCAGTCTCATCAAACTATCAAACTATAATTTGTGTAGACTTTGACTAATTTTAAGTTTATAATTTTCTTTATATGGGTTTTACAGTTCTTGGTTAAATTTATTTCAATTTATTTTAAATTTTGTAGACTTTACTATATTTTGACTGGCTATTGCTAGCATACAGGAAAACTACTGAATTTTCTGTTTACCTTTATACTCTAACATTGTTCCAAACACATTTCTTACTCTTTGGTTTAGTAATTTCAGTTAAAAATCTAATTTTTTTACAGTAAAGAATTATGTCATCTATCAACTAACAGATTTAGATTCTTTTTCAAACTTTTCCTCTTATCACATTTTATTTAGCTTATTGCAGAAGTTCTTAGTTCATGAGTAATAGTAATGTATAGTGACATCTTTATCTTATTCCTTATATCAACGGAATCAACTTTGGTATTTCTCCATGTTGGTATTATTTGAAATAGGTATTCTTCACCATAGTAATGATATGCCTGCTATTCTTAGTTTACTAAGTTTTTTAAAAAACATACATTAGGAATAGATATTGATTTCTATCAACTGCATTTTGGATCCCTGGAGATGGTTAATTTTTGAATTTTGTACTTTTTCTTAAAGGATCTTGGTGTTCATCGAATTCACCACAGTTAATATTCATTCACTTTACAGCATATGTAGAAAATTGAGGTCCAGGCTATATTTGAATACCTCCAGTGATAGGAAAATATGTAAAATGGCAGCTTTGTCCATTCTTTGTATGTCTGGATTTACTGAGCCTGGGTGACAGCACCCCGTAACTCAGTAGTATTCTCAACCGACCTCCGACTCCTCTATTACCCCGTCCATACTGTTAATCTTGCTGTCAAATATATTACACAATGCCCTTGGTCAGTAGTTTACTGAAAGCATTCTAATCACTCTACCGAAAGAGAAGTTAGTTTAGTCCAACATGACCTGTCCTAAATGAAGCCATGTAATCCCAGGGCTTACACAAAATACCCATATAGTAATGTTAGGATGCTGGATGTCTATTAAGCTCACGTTACAGCAAAAATTAAAATAGGTGGCTAATGTTTCACATAATGTTTCTAATGTTTAACATAATAAGGTTTTAGCTGCAACAGAGATAGTAAATGTACTTATTACAACCTCACTACTTTAAAAATTCCAATATGGAGGCTCAGAGATATAGCGCCTGCCAACTGTCTGCCTCAAACCCTAACCTACACAGCCCTTCACTGGGAGACGCTCAGGCCTTCCAATGCTTGTGGGATGTCCTTGTTTTTCCCCTGTGGATTCTACGTGAGTTAGGAGTCAGGACTCAGGAGCTCCATGCTTCAAACTATGCAGATGGCTTCCTGACTCTGTATCTGTAGCTGCCGGCCAACTAACCCCAACTGCGTTTCCCAGAAAAGCTCATGTCTGTGGCTTCGCATCAGCAACAGCAGCCACCCCTGTCTTCCACGCGGCACCTTCTCAGTGTCTTCCTGAGTCAGTAAGTGTCTCACAAGGTTTTCCCAAGCTCTGTCCCTGAGGCTGGTGGTCACTTTGTTTCCTTGGCCTTTGGCTTCTGGCCTGAGATCTTCTAGAGGGCAACCCTTTTCCTGTTCACTTTGCCTCACTTGACTTTTCAAAATACTGTTATAATAATTATACCAGTTTTTGTAAAATTAACCAATAATCCATCAAACCGTGCAGATGTGTGTAGTGAGGTGTCCCTCCCACCCCGCAGAGAACAAAGCCCACCTTCATGCCTGAGTCTTGGAGTTAAAACGGAGTCTTCTGTTTCATCTCAATACCTTAAACAGACGACAGGAGCGCACGGAACGTGAGATTTTGTGACACTCCACCTCTGTGAGAACCAGGATTTCCGTCTTCTTTGGTCCACTCAACACTGCTGGACTTGATTAAGACATGTTACTAGTTTGAGAAGTTGTCTTCTGTTCTTCTGTGTTTTTAAACGTAACTGAGGAGATGAAACTTTGTAGATAAGCATACAATGCAGAAAGAGACGGAGGGGTCCTCAGTAATTATCTCTCACTTACCAATGAATAAATGAAGCAGGAGATTAAACGTGCTGTCTGAAATCACAAACTTTCTGTTAGGGGAATGGCTAAAGCAAGAACCCAGGCTTTCAGACTCCAACCTGATCCTCTTTGTGCTTCTTCATAAACTCCTGCCTCCGGGGAGAGATGGGGTTTACTCGTCCGGTACCAACTGTATGTCAGATAATAGAGAAAAGCATGTCTTCTGATGTCACATCGTCAGTTTACTGTAATAACTCTTTCAGTGTGAAGGTTGCTACCTGAGTATGAAAAACCGTGTGATGAGAAAAGGCACAAACAGCTCAACAAACTAGAACAACAAAGTAATTCAGTCTCAATTTTTGTTTTTTAAGTTAAAGACTAACACTTCAACTAACACCATCAGTCTTTTCCAACTTTGCTTTGACTCAGAATTTGAGTCAAGTCAAAAACATTTGGATATTTCTTCCCCCACTAAATTTCCTGCACTTCATGTTTCTAAACAGATTACCTTTGTGCTGTTTAAATTAAACATTAATTCATTCAAGCATCAAAGCTGTTGTGTTCTCACAGATAGCATTTGCCATGAACAAACACATTTTAAGCAGAGTATCTTATTGTTATGCATAATTACCAGAGAATAATAAAAAAATTTAATTCATGGCTCCAGATGTTGAGAAATCAAAAAAAGGAGATTCTTGTATCAGGAACAACACACTTCAGAATGACAGGTTTTTCAGGGTAAACGTACTTTTGGTGTTCAAGAGTGTTTTCGTATTTTTTTGGTCTATACTTCATCCATCCATCCATCCATCCCACATACCCGCGCCACATACAGAACTAGGTCCCCAGGGTGCAGTGGTTCCCACCCTCTTGAGCTTTAGCTCCTACTGTGCCGGCAAACTCAAAATCTACATTTGTGATCTCTTTTCACCCTCTATCAAGTTGATTGCTTGTGCTTACACTTCCAACATCCATTTCATTGCTCACCTGTTCCTGGGAAGCGAAGGTATCTTTACTTCAGAATTTCAGACCATCTGGCTCTCTTCACTCCAACTGTCATGGGCTTCTGATCTTTTCATGTCTGGCTCCTCACCCTCTCGCTTCACTTCACCAGCACCTCCTTGGAGAGGCCTCTTTAACCACCTAAACCCAAAATAGTCCCGTTACTATCACATCACTGGTATTTTCCCTGTGGACTTTGTGTGTGATACTTGTCATTTGCTTGTTTAATCTCTGTCTCCCTTTCTTCCATGAAAGCCCTCTGAAGGCAGACAGGGCCCTTATCAGGCTAATTTGCCTCTGAATCCTAAAATGGTGCTTGGTAGACAGTTGGCATTGATTAAATATTTGTTGAATAAATGAATCAATGGATTCCTAATTAACTACTTCTTGAACTACTATAGATACTGATTCATCCTTGCTGAGAAGTTTTAAGTTCTCACATCTGTGAAGATTAAATCAGAATTTAAAACTAAATCTTAAAAACAGTTTAGAAATGTAGGAAACATCTGGCAGAGACATAATTTCATCATTTGCAGTGATGGAAGGAAAGGTTTTCTCTGAAGTAAGCAGGTTGCTGGCCTCTTTGTCGCATCATCAGAAAATGCCTGCCTGTTTTTGTTGGTTTACTCAGGAACTGGGAACATCTGGTGTTGGGAACATAGAACGTTGCTCATTTTAAAGTAAAGAGTTAGCAATAACTTAAGGGGTTGGGAGTGGGAGGGAAAATGCCCTAAGAAAATGAAGACAGTCTGGAGAGCCTCTTGTCCTTTAAAACAAACAAAACCAAAACAGGTTTCTTTGGTTCTTCAAGAACCTTAAAGGAACCTTCCTAGAAAGTTCTCAATTTGTGATTTCCAAATGAGCAGACTTGGGGGGGGGGGGGGGAAAGAAAGAGAAGGGAGGGAAGGAAGGAAGGGGGAGGGGAAGGAAGGACCAAAGAATCAAAGAAAAGAAGAAAGGAAGGAAAGAAGAGAAGAGAAGAGAAAAACAAGGGAAAAGCAAAGAAAGGAAAGAAGGAACGCGCGCGTGTAGCTCCGCCTAGTTCAGGGTTATCGCGGCCCCGAAAGTGGTGGCGGCCAGACCGGCTGACTTCTGGGGGCCGGTTCAGATCCCTTTAAGGGTGGGGACCCCCGGAGGACGCGGGGGAGGCCGGCGGGAGCGAGGCCGGAGCCTCGGTGGACGCGGCAAGTCCTCAGCCGGGAGCCCCGCTCTGCGCTCGCCCGCGCCGAGGCGCCCGCCGCCCCGCCCGCGCACGCTCCGCCCCGCAGCCCCGGCCCCCTCCCCGCGGGGTCCCCTCGCCGGACGCGCTCGGGCCAGGTCCCCTAGTGACCCCCTGAGTGGTGACTTCTCCCTCGGCCGGCCTGGGAGCCGCTCGCAGAGCTCGGAACCGCGGACGTCCGCAACCCCCTCCTCAACTCGGTGCCCCGAGCGCCGGTCGGACGGGGGTGGCGGGCCCCTGCGCGCGGGGTCTCTGCGCACCGGCCTGCCTGGCCCGCCGACGTGCCTTCCCCGAGAGCCGGCCCTCCGCCGGCGGGGCGCTCGCGCCATGAACGAGAGCCCGGGGTTCGCGACCCGCAAGGGCGGCTCTCCCCGGGGGATGGTCGGGGCCGGCGCGCGGCGCAACGAGAGCCAGGACTACCTGCTCTTGGACTCGGAGCCCGGAGACGACTGCTGCCCTCAGCCCCCGCGGCCGGCCTACGGCTACTACCCCTGCCTGTGAGTGCGGGCGCCGCGGGCGGGGGGTGCGGGCGGGAGGGGGGGGGCCGGGGCCGCGCGCGTCTGGACACGCGTGTCCCTTCCCGGGCCGTGCGAGCCTGGGCTGGGTCCCGAGCGAGCGGAGGGGCGCGCGCGTCTAGGTTTTGTCCCTGGTGAGCACACACGGTTATGTTGGCCCCGGAGAGCGTGACCTCGGGGTACCGACTCCGCGAAGGATGGGCAGGTGTGGGTCTCGAGTCCCAGCGGCTCCCCGTCCGCTCAGACCCCTTGGCACGGGCTGGGCCGCGAGACTCGGGGTCTGACGGAGAGAGGGCTACCCGGCTCAGGGTCCCCGGAGCGCCCCGCGTCCGCGCGCGCTGCTGCCCCTGCCCTCAGCCGGGCGCGCTCGGGCCCTCCCGCTGCCAGACCCCGCACAAGTTCGCAGGTGTCAGTGGAGGGGCGAGCTTACCCGGCACGCCCGGCCCCCAGGTCGCCGGGTTAGGTCGGGGACAGGGAAGCGCGGGAGGCTTTCCCACCCTGAGCGCCAGACGTTCCCCCGGGGGCGCCCAGGGGGTGCGGGGCGCGAGACTCGTCCGCTGTGGAGGCGAGGGGGTCGAGGGCGTTTGCGGGGAACCCAGAGCGACTACCGGATTTTAAGAATCTGGAGGGGTTTTTCTGCGAGGGGGGTTGGGGGTTAGCGGGGGCGGGCAGGGGTGGAATAAAGAAGCCTTCCCTCCTGCACACGCCCGGGAGCTCAGGGGCGGCTGGCGGACGGCCTGTCTGCTTCTTTGTCACTTCCCTCGATTGGGTAGTGTGGGTTCCTGACGTTCTTTCCGCACGCGGTTTCCCAAGGAAAGCAGCTCTCAGCTGCAGTTCGGTAAGCAGCTCTAGAGTACGTGGTGGGGGTGCTGGGGACGCTCAGCTCCCCACTCCATCCCCCCTACCAGCTCCTGCAAAACCTTGGTCAGGTCTGCCCAGCGTCAAGGACTGGTGTGTTCCCTTTCTCAGGAAGAGGTGAGCCCCAGGAAATGGTGCATCTAATTTTTTCCCAAGATAGAAAAAAGTTGGAACTGGTTCCATTCATCTGTGTGCTGTACAATTTGAAAGTATTTACTATTATCTTTTCTTTCTTTCTCAAAAATTAAGATATATTTCACATACCATAGAGTTCACCTATTTACTTTGTACATATCAGTGGTTAATATATCCACAGAGGTGTGAAAAAATCACTATCTAATTCCATGACATTTTCATCATCCACAAAAGAATCTCATACTTGACATTGAATTGGAAAATATTTCTACGTCTTATAGCACCGTGCTTCTCAAACCTTAATGGGCAGACGAATTACCCGGGAATCTTGTTAAAATGCAGATTCTGATGCAGTAGGGCCCAGGTGCAGCCCAAGATTCTGTGTATCTAATGATCTCTGAGATGATGCTAGTCCATGGACCACACTCTGAGGAGCAAGGAGATACATGCCAAGAACAACAGACAGGAAGAAAAACAAATCAATCCTGGATATTCTGAATACAGCTATTTTCAAATGTGCTTTGAGGGTATATGTTTAAAACATAAGTGAATTTTTTTATTGGCTTAGACTTGAGACCCACTAAGCCTGAGGGTTAGATATTTGATAATGTCACCTGTGGCTAATTAAGCAACTTTAAAAAGCTATACTGCTTTTTAACAATCAGGCTGTCCTGTAGAGAAAATTTAAAGTTTTTTTCACCTGATCGTCCTATAATCATTTGTTACTGTGTCTGTGAGAAAAATAATTTGATTTTAAAAATTTGTGGTTGTAAATTAGGAGTGAGAGAGACTAAGTGAAGTAATAATTCCAAATTGTCCTGTAAACTTTCCCCAGTGCTTTCTTTGAATGTGACCCATCGCCTTATTGATTTATCCACTTCTTAACATTACGTACTCTCTAAAGAATAAGCATTCTCCTCTCTTCAGGAATCTCAGACCATTCTAAATGTGTAGACCAGGACAGCAGAGAGATGACAGAAATATTTTAATGTGCTTCAGTTCATAATGAACACCCCCGTATCATGTCAAAGATACTATAATTAATTACAGGATGAACCATATTCCAGAATAATAGTTTGTTTTGTCTAAATCTACTATTTTCATAAGATTCTATAGTTAGTTTTCATCACTGCCTACTCTGGTGAGGTTTTTTATCTTTTCCAGTTGAATAATTAAGTACAGTCTTTAGACCAGTCAACAACAGTACTTCACACCTATGATGTACAAGATGGAACTAAAGAAAATCACTTCATTCTGGTAGAGAGTACAAAAAAGCCCTTCCTTATGCTTTTGACTTGTGATGTAAACAATGTCATCTATTTTCCTAGAGTGGGAGGTGAATAACTTGTGAAAGTGGCAGTCATTAGCACACTGGAGATATGGACATCACCATTTTCTCAAATCATTGAGATTTTTCCCTTAGAAGATCACAAATTATTGCAAGTTGTCACTTCTGTGGGATAAATTCTGTAACTTTTGCTAAAAATTTCTGTTTCATAGTTTACATAGGTGGAAAGATTTTTATGTTTATATCATGGGGCTTTTACTACTGAAAATTGTGGCAAATCATCTTGAGAGCAGTTGCATATTTTCAGGCCTTAATAGTGTTTAAGTGGTAACATTAGAAATACTGTTTAGGAAAAAAAGATGCCCTTTCTCTCTCTTTCCTACTTTTAGTCAGAAATCAGTTAAAACACCCTCTTTTGATCAGTTGGTGATAGCGACTAGCAAGAAATGGTCTAAGTCCTCCCCGGGTCCCAGGAGGTATGTCAGAGAGTTATTTCACTTAGACGTTAAAAGTTTGTCTCTAGTCCATTACTTCTGAACATGGGGAAGAATCCTGGATGTAAAAAATAATGTGGAGGGTTACTAACTACTCAAGATCTGAAATACAGTTCCACCAACCTTCTGCTTGGGAAGGACTAATTGATTAAGCTCTTGCAATGCAGTAGATGGAGATAATCTAAAAAAAAATTTATGGTTACAGATACCTCATAAAACTAGATAAAATATTTAAAATGATTTCAAAACATTAACTAATTTTGCAATCAGTGAATCAGTGAAAAAGGATTATCACCATGTGCCCGAAGCAAAGCAATTAAAAGTGGGTATAGCCTGTGTTGAATTGAGCTGTGGCTGCTTCGTGGGTTATACATCTGCATGAACATGGTGGCTGGAGTCTAACGTCTGCATGGGACAGAGATGATGCTAAGGCCTTGGTTCCAGATAAGCCATGGAGCTGGGACTAAGACATGCCTGCCCCCTGTGTAAGACCAGGACCTTTCCTTTAATGAAAAGTTAGGCTGGAAAAATGCCACCAGGAATGAGTGAGAACAAGAAACCCGATTAGTAAGAGAAAAAGAAATCCTTGGCTAAGAATTGTATTCTTTGCTCCTGTGTCATGTGAGTTTTTGTTTTTGCTCTTGTTTTTTACACCACTTGCTGACCTAGAAATCTTCATGTCAGAAAATA